TTTGTAGGTAAATATATGGTTAAGTAGATAGTTTTGTTTGACAATACTTTAAATTAAATAAAACTAACAACACATTATGTTCTGTTTTATTTACTTTAAAGAAGTGAGGAGTAGGGAGACGAAAAAAATTATGTTTTTTTGATACTGAGACTGGACGAGTAGCTTTCTGCAACCTGCTGACTTTAAAAGTAGCTCTTTGTTCAAAAAAGGTTGGGCACCCCTGATTTAAAGCTTTAGCTAACATTAACTTAAAACTATTTTTTCTGATGGTAAAGTGCTCTACAGCATGAAGTGAGTCACTGAAAATCAGATTTATGATGCACCAACCTGATGAACAACCTAACTGTCTGAAACGTACCTATCTGTAGATGATCATGATGTTTTCACTGCCCCTGTGCTGCCATGGAACGACACTCTGCGTTTGACTTTCTTTGGTTTTTAGGTCAAATGTAGACAAATTTTAAAGGTTTTTCTTTTAGCCTCTTCATGGGGACTCTTACTGTTTCACCTTTATCATTTCTCTGATGTGCCCGCTGTGTTTTTTTCTGTAGTTTACAGACTGGCATCTCTTCTTCAGCGCTCATCACAGCAAATACAGACAACAGAAGTCATCCTGCCTCCAGCACTTCAGGGGAGTCAAACTCATTTTCACCGAGGGCCACATGAGTGTTACGGTGGCCCTCGAAGGGCCAGCTGTGGTTAACTTTGATGTTTCATGTTTAACTTTGACTAAACAGAGTTTTAACACGTCCTCTTTTAAACACTGATTAGAGCTAACTGTACGACTGACTAAAGATGAAATAAATACAGAAATATTATTAAAAGTAAAACTAATAGAGTTTTACTCACTGATGAGTTTCTAGTGAGTAGCTGCCATCTTGGATTCTGCTCTCTCCCACTTTCTGACAGGGAATTCTCATGGATGATCAAAGTGCATTATGGGAGATGTAGTTTATGGTTGATGCTGACTTTAAAGCAACTAAAATGCTCAGTTACTTAAAGCCAACAGCTCTGGAGCAGGACAATTATTCTTATCTTTCACCTTTTTTAATTGTTTATTTTGTTGCATTTAATCATAAATTTAAAGTTTACCAAGAAACGGTTATAATTTTTCTTTTTGCTGAATATGAAAACTGTTGTGTGTGTGTGTGTGTTTGTGTTGTGTGTGTGTGTGTGGAGGGGGGGGGGTTTACCTCCATGTATTTCATTAGATACAAATGAACATTTTACGTGGTTAAGTTTTTAGTAAAAGAAGGCTTTCTCATCTCACAACAGGTTGAATAATCTGGCTTTTATTTTCAGTAGAGCTGCAACTAACGATGATTTTAATAATCGATCAATCTGTCGGTTATTTTTTCAATTAATCGGTCAAATCATTAAAACACTTAATTACATAAATATGAGTAGATTTAAATTCATTTAATTCCTGTATAAATT